TTCCAATTCAGTGAGGAACACGGCTCAGTGGGTAGAGGTGCTTGCTGCCAAACCTGAAGAGTCAGTGGTGGAGGGAGAGAGGGTCAACTCTAGCAAGTTGGCCTTTGACCTCTACATGTTCACTATGTCACACATGGGTGAGCACACAGATACACACACACACACACACACACACACACACACACACACACACACCTATAAATAAACACACATAGGGTTATAAAAATGAGAGAAGCTTTAAATTACCTTAACTTGAAATGAATATATGTGAGTGCATATATATGTGTGTGTGTGTGTGTGTGTGTGTGTGTGTGTGTTCACACACATTAGCATGCTATGGCTGGTTTTTTTTTTAATGAGAGTGTAAGGATTTTTTTTTTTAGATAGCTATATTAATTGCCAATGTGTGTTCTATTTTTAACAGTGACCCTATCAGACTTTGTCATCTTTAATTCTTAATTTTTTATTTTCTTTGAAATAGAGAAGTTTCAAGAAAATCACCGAAAACCAAAGAGCAGGATCCTTCTAGACTTTTAGTGTAGTTTTTGTTTCGTTATTTCTTTTTTTTTTTTTTTACCTGTATCTCTTCTCCCACTAAAATTAGAAAACATTATCGTGTTAAAACCTATACAAAGACTAAAACTCACCCTTCGGCTGTCTCTGTTTACTGCCAAGGGCGTTGTGTTCTCAGTGCTGTCTGGCTAACGCCACTGCCCACCGCCTGTATTTTAAATGCCACCCCCTTTAAACCGGAGTTATTGCGAGTGTATGCATGTGTGAATATGTGTGAGTACGCAATGTTTGAGTAGAGATCAGAGGACAGCTCGGAGGAGTCAGCACTCCTACCGTGGAGGTCCTGAGGCTCTAACTCGGGACAGAAGTCTTGACAGAAAGTGCCTCAACACCCTGAGCTATCTCAGCAGCCCAGGATTTGTTGGGTTGGCAGGGTTGGCGGGGTTGGCGGGGTTGGCGGTGACCCTCCAAAACAGAAACTGCATTCATTTATCCGCAGCACCTGTCCTCCAATGGCTCCACTTTCTTTCTGTATAAACCCTCTGGTCTGCCTTGTCATGTGAGTGAGAAGCTTTTGGTTTGTGGTGGCTTCCTTCACTGAGTTGGTTGTCCTCAAGCGCATCCATTTTGCAGCAGGTGTCAGAACTCCCTTCCTCTCCCTGGCTGATCAGTAGTCTACTGTGTGCATCTGCCACAGGCCCTTTACTGCTGGCACCACCTCCGCAGCACCTTTAATGACTTCTCGGATGAAGGAAAGGCCAGGTGAGCAGAGGCGTCAGATTGCCTCCTTGTGCACCTTCTCTTTGACTTAATTTAACATGATGTAAGTAGGGAGGCACAGGGAATGGAGGAGTGGCACCTGCAGCTTTTGAAGATCGCTTTGGAGTGAAGATTCCATGGTGAGGTATGATTAGAAGCTGTTCTGGACAGTCCTGAGGGGAAATCATGAATCCTGTGGAGGAATACTTTGAAGAACATTATCAGTCCTTCTTAGGCACTCAGATGATTAAAGGTTTGGGAGTCTGCCCTTCTAAATGGGGTCTAAAGGAACTCAGTGTATTTAGCTTAGAGAGAGAAAACATGCATGGTGAGGCGGGCTTAATAACAACCTCCAGGAGCATGAGGAGTATTCTCTCAGTGATGAGAAACAGCTGCTTCCTGTTTCTGCTCAGGATGGGGGAAGAGTAGAGGTAAAACTGCAAGTAGGTTTAAGAAGTCCTCATCTTAAGAGTCCAAGACACTGAACCAGAAAGAAAAATCATCACTTCTCTGTTTCAGAATTATGTGGCCTACTGTCTTTCTCCAGGTTAGTTACGTGTGGCCATTTCATGACTCTTAAACTTGTACAGAAACAATTCAGCAGGCTCTTCCCTGGTAGAAAAGATGGAGTTTTCCATTGACTGAGCTCCCAGTGTCTGTGATTGAGGAAGGCCCAACCCTTAACTCTTTAGTCAATTTACAACAGAAAAAGCCAGAGTCCCTTTGCTATCCTTTATTCCCTCTCTTGAAATCAGGATAATGTACATTTACTCCTATGTGAGGTAAAAAAGAGCCCATCGATGGGCTGGAAAGGTGGCTCAGAGGACAAAGATGCCTGCCACCAAGCTGATGACCTGAGTTCAGTCCCTGAGACCCACACGGTAGAGGGTGGGAACTGACCCAAGCAGTGCTCTGACCACCACACCTACCATGACATAAGTGCTTCCATCCATACTTACATGTAAACGGAATGTTATGAGGGTAAACAGTTTGCCAGTATGTGTTTGTTTCATTTATTTGATTAATGTGGTCATGATATTCTTGTCTTCAGGGAGACTGGATATTGTGTATATGCATGTGTATGTGTGTGTGTAGCTAGAATCACGTACATGTGTCATGTATATCATAGACATTTGATATATGATTAATTTTGCATTAGAGATTTGTAATCATATAAATTGTTTTATCATAGTGTCAAATAACTATACAGTATGTAATTCATATATAATTAATTCAATGATGAACATGAGCTTTTGTTTTGGATAGTATCCCTAAGTGTTAGTTATATGAAGATAAATAAGCTATACACTGTTAATCAATAGCACAGAAAATGTGAAAATTACCACATAACATTAAACCACCAGAGGATACCTACTAGGAGACAAATTCAAATCAGGAGAATGAGTTCTGGGCATGCCCTGAACTGTTGGCCAATAAGGGAAATAGGTGAAATGTTATTTCCACTATTGTTTTTATCATTCTTCTCCTATATTGGGCACACTGTGGTCTTGAGTCTCATTTGGATAGGTTGTGTCTTACTTGCCTAAGACAGGCTCTTATCCCTACAGGACCCAACAAATGCAGTGTTGTGCCTTTAACGCTTATTTCAGCCTCAGCTAGGTATGCAATCCACCTGCATCAAGATTTATTATGATCTTGTTCAAAGATGTTTGCTTTGATTATTGAATTCTTTCTACCCTATGAAAAAGGGTCATGACCCCAAGCCCCACTCTGACTGTCATAACCAAGAGGGAAAATGGCTTGGGGATGGGGAGGACTTTGAATCCTTTCTGATTTTCCATTTGCTTAATCTACTTTATAGGAATGTTTGCAGGATTAAATTAAACCAAATAGCATTTGTTAAGCCCCGACTCCATTGTACTCAGCCCTCAAGTCATATTCATTGGTTTTCTTTAACTAGTAAAAAGAACTTCTTGCCTATTCCAGGATCATGATTACCCCTACATTCTTCCATTTAGTGAGGTTTGTCCATGGAGGGGGTTGTTGAGTAAGTTTGCCTAAAGTTCATGAGGGCACCTGAGCATGGAAATGTATGAATCTGTTTTTTTTTTTCTTTCCTTCCCTTCCTCTCCAACTCTCCTTCTCTTCCTTTCTTTCCTTTTATTCATCCTTTTCCTGCCCTTCCTCTTTGTCATTTCTTTCCTCCCTTTCTCCTTTATCACTTTAGTTTTTATTTCCTTTTGTACCGTCATTTCTCCTTCCCCTTTCCCTTTCTCCCTTTTCTTACTTTCTTCCTTCTTCCATCTCTCTTTTTACTTTCCTCCCTCTCCTTTTCCCTCCCTCCCTTCATCCCTTCCTCCCCTTTTCTCTTTTTCTTCTTCCCTCTCTCTTAGATCTTCCCACCCCTCCCTTCATCTTTTCCTCTTCTCTCCTCCTTCCCTTCTTCCCTCCCTTTTTTGCTTCTCTGTTCCAGGGGCTCTAACTCTGACCTTCTGGATACTAGGCAAACCCTCTCCCAATAATCTGCAGATCCAACTCTTGCTTCTTTCTTCTCCCTACTTTGTCAATCCTGGAGGTAATCCACACTAACCCCAAATATTTCAGGAAGCATTCATTGCCCCATTACCTGAAACAAACTGTGAACAGTTGGTGGGGAGAGGGGAGGGAAGGTACATTAACAACTAGTAGAAAGGTAACTCATTTTGGTTTACCAGTTTACTAGAGAACAGATATGTCTACCAGGTGTCTAGAGAGTCATTGGTAACTGTTAACCCAGTAGAGTTCTATGCTCTGAAATGATGTCAAGTTGATGGCATGACCTCATGACCTGGAAAAGCTTATGAATTTACTGCAGGGACCAAGTCCCTAAGTATGACATACCCTCAAAATTAGAGTGAGTATCAGGAAAACACTATGGCTTGAGCCCCTAAGCACTGCAGAAAGGCAATCCACCAGGATGGATATAGAATTCACTGGAGCTGTAGGCGACCTAGGGTCATAGTTCAGTTCACAAAACATGATTGTTTTAAGACAGACATGTAGAAACCATCTCTGAAGTACATGTCCCACTGAAACCAAAGAGCATACTGCCATAGCTCCTTCCGTAGCTTTCTGAAGTCTTGGTGTTCAGGCTGACCTGTTTTTAGACTCCCATTGGTGCACTGTGCCAGACCACTCCTGCCCATAGTCCTACTGAGATATTAGGATGTGGGATTTCATCATAGATCACATCGTCACACTGAGCATCAAAAGCCTGTCCAGAGGTTTACTTCAAAAACATGCCAGCAGATTTAGGAAACAGGGGTAAGACCTTTCTCTCATTATCAGGTGATTTATAATCCAGGCACTTGGGGAGGAGGGTGTGGGCCTTCTGAACTGAACCTCACCTCCCAGATCCCAAAATTAAAGCAGTAAGGAGACATAACAACAAAGCCACAAAACGTCCTAGCATAAAATTTATGGTGGATTCTTATAGAGCTTCTGTCAGTAAAGTCAAATAATGACTGTCCCTCTTCTTTCGACAGCAGACTTTATGGTCGCTGTCATCTTTCTCAGAACACACGGCAGATTTAGTTAATTACACTTTTCAGGGCAAATGACCTGGTGCTGTGTTCTCATGCATGTGACCACACTGTTGGGATGACAGTGCACGAATACAGACTTGGAGCCCAGTGCCGACGATGGCGTGGAATGGTGTGAGTGTCATGGGTGTGGCCATGCTGTCAGCGCGTGGCTAAGCGGCTTCTCCTGCTCTTTCCCCTCTCTAGATCCTCAAGTCCAAAGACTTAACATCTCCGACCCAGCGCTACATCGACAGCAAGGTTGTGAAGACCAGAGCGGAGGGCGAGTGGCTGTCCTTCGATGTGACTGATGCAGTGCACGAGTGGCTTCACCACAAAGGTGACAAAGAGCCTTCCTTTCCTCTCCCTGGATGGGGCCCGGACAGCTTGTGGATTGCCTGCAGGCACAGACACACGTACAAATGACTTCCTTAACTTACTGTTTTCCAGACAGGAACCTGGGATTTAAAATAAGTTTACACTGCCCCTGCTGTACTTTCGTGCCATCGAATAATTACATCATCCCAAATAAAAGCGAAGAGCTCGAGGCGAGATTTGCAGGTACCTGAACCTTGGCTTTTACTGTGAGAATCTCTTACGGTAAAGTCAGTTTGTGTGCGAAAATGGGATTGGTTGGTAAGATGTGGGAGTTTTCATTTATGTGGGCAATGGTTTGCTTAGTGGGAGGTAGAAGACAGTAGAAATTGGGCCTGGAGAGTTGGCTTATTGGCTAAGATCTGAGTTCAGTTCTCAGAACCCACACCAGAGAACTCAGAACTCACAATCACCCTTGTTCCAGGAAATCTGATGACGTCCTCTGGCCTCCCAGGGTACATGCCCGCAAGTGCATACACCTACACACATACATAACTAAAAAGCCAATATATATTTATTAAAAAGGATTGGAAGAAAGGAACACACCCTGGGTTTTCACTGCTTCAAGGAAATCCATTTTGAGAGTCCCCCCGCCCCCCCCCCAGCAGAATTTCAAGCATCGACAAGACCATTTCACCAAAGAAAAGAATTGTGTCACATCTCAGTGTCTGTAACTCCCCTCCAGGTGATGGGATGCCCTGCCTTTTTCTAGCCTACACCCGTTATTATAAATGGCTTCCCTAACAGATTTCTGTAGCAGCTTATGAACACGGAATGAGGCCTTCTTTTCCCCTGCTCACCTTTAAGCTGAATTTATCAAAATCTGGAGTAAATGAAGATGCTAAGGGTTCAGGTCACTTGGCTTCTTAGACAGTAAATTGTTGGTTGGGGAGGTGAAAGGCAAGTCAGCGCCCACACACTGCTGTGGCATCTGCCCGTGTTTCCTCAGAACCTCACCTGGGACGTCCATCCACTTTTAGAAATCCTTAGTGGCCCTTGGTCATGGAAAAACACTCCCAGAGGTGTAGAGATTTATTTCAGTCTCTAGCCTAGCCGTGGTTCTCTTGAGTGGAGATTAAATGCCTAAACTGTCAGTCTCTCGAGCATGCTTTGGGGAGCTCAAGTTTCTAAATCTCAGATGGAATCAGAAAAGTGTTGAGGATGCCATAAAATAAATGAAAAAGCTCTTTCTGCGCAGCTTCCCAAAATAGCATTAGGTAAGGGTGACTTCTGTTTCCCTTGAACCTAGTTCATGGCCATTTAGCAAGCCTTGGTTTATGCTCATTAGGAAAGTCTTCTGAGTTGAGCAGTCTCAGGGAAAGAGGGAACCAGCGGGTGACAAGGCGTGCTCTATGGCTGTGTGTTCTGTTGCCGAGAGCTTGAACACAGCCCACACTGAGGATGGACTAAAATAAACTGCTAGATTGCCCTTGGACCATAGGTCAAAGACTTCTTGTGCAGTGACTTTCCCAGTAACAGCCCTGCCTTCAACACAGGAAGAACTGCCTTTGGACAAGAGGCCCATCTAGATGTGTCATTGTCACTCGTGGGAGGCCCATTGTGCCGTATCTGTTTCTGTGGGCTCATGATGATAGCCAGTAGTGTGGCTCTGGTAGTCACCACTGCTGTTTGTGACTGTGTGCAGGGGGAACGATTTTACCTAAATACTGCTACTTCTATTTGGTAAAGGCAAAGCTAAACGTTTATTACCCAAATGCATTTTTTCAAGGTATTGACGGCCCCTCCACATATGCCGGTGGCGATCAGAGAACTATAAAGACCACTAGGAAAAAAAACAGTGGGAAGACCCCACATCTCCTGCTAATGTTGTTGCCCTCCTACAGACTGGAGCCGCAACAGTCCAACAGGCGGAAGAAGCGTGCTTTGGATGCCGCCTATTGCTTTAGGTAAGGAAACAAAACTAAAAAAGCAAACGACTATCTGCGAGCACTTGCCTTGCCTTTGTTTTCTCTTCCACACATTGACTTGAATTGAAGCCACTGCTCAAGGCCAGGTATACAAGACAGTAAAGCTTTTGAATCTCATAACAGCATTTGTCCCAAAGACCTTATAAACATAATTTATTTTATTTTTTTTATTAAAATGTAATTATAGTACGTGATTCCTCCCTCCACACCTCTCTTTTGTCCTATGCTTCCTCCCAAATTCATGGCCTCTTTTCCTTCAATTATTACTGTTTCATATATGTATATATTTGTGCAAATAAATATATAAAGACAACATGCTAGCTTTATTTAGTGTTGTTTGTTTATATATGTTTTAAGGCTGACCACTTTGTTTTGGATAGCCGATTAGGGGCACATGCCTGCAGAACAGCAATTCTCCATCTCTTAGCCATATTAGTTGCTTGTAGGTCTTCATCTGGGAGTAGGGCCCTGTGACATTTACCCCATCCATGCTGGCATGTTAACTAGCGTTGACTGTTCTTGTTAAGGTCTTGTTTAGGCAGCCATATTGTTGAGGTTTCCTGAGGACCTTGAACAGTTGTTTCTGTGATGTCATTCTTAGCTCTCTAGCAGTGAACTGGGTATCAAGGGAGAAAATTAGCCCCTGGGGCTAATTAACTTCAAGTCTTTCTGAACTTCTTGGGTTCTGATAAGTTCTGATAGTTCTCTGCCCACAAAGAAAACCTAAGTTTCCTTGAGATTTTGTCTAAATGAATAAGACTCATCATTGCTCTGAAGCTCTCCCTGGGATCTAACCTCTTTCTGAGGTATAGAAATAGCCCAAGAAGGCTGATGTCCATAGTTTGAGCTGCAGGGCCTGTTATAGGCAAGGGGATCCTGCAAGAATGTTTGTTAGTTGTATATGAATTTGTGAAGGGGAAGATGTGTGGTCTTCTGTGCTTCCTGCAGGGGGAAGACTCCTATTTTGGGAAGCTGTGGATTTCGGGGCAGGATCCTCTCTCTATGAAGTACTCGCCATGTGATAGGTCACAAATAGAGGAGGGTCTTTCAGTTGCCAGAGACAGTGATTGTGGCAACAAGAGTGCATATTTCTTGAACTCTGATTCATTCCTTGATCTAGCAACAGATGGTAAAGCATAGGATATATTCTCAAATAAAAATGTGTCCAGGGGCTCTCGGAAAATATCTGAAGTATTTTAGTCATTGTACACACAGAACAGCGAAGAGGCTGGATGGCAGATGTTCAGCGGAAAAGACTGGCCCTATCAGCTCCCTTCCTGCTTACCCATAGTTCACTGAAGATGTATGTTGACTTTCCAGGTCATAGAAAAGAAAGTCAGAGAATAGAATGCGTAAGGGAAAGTAGCGCAGGGACTCACTGTTGACCTCATGTGAGATTATAAGAGAGCCATTAAGACTTAAGTCTCATGTTGCTTGCTGTTAATGGAATAAATGAACGGGTTATTTTTCTGACTCAGGGTGAGATGCATGCAGAATCAAGCCCAAAATGCCCTCTGCCTTTTCTTTTAACAGAAATGTGCAGGATAATTGCTGCCTTCGGCCTCTTTACATTGATTTCAAGAGGGATCTTGGATGGAAATGGATCCATGAACCGAAAGGGTACAACGCTAACTTCTGTGCTGGGGCGTGCCCGTATCTTTGGAGTTCAGACACTCAGCACACCAGGGTAAGCCTCTGGGGTGTCTGCTGTAAAATACAAACTATATATTTAAGATGAATATCTTTGAAATTTCTTGTGTTGATGCTTGCTTTTTGTGTGATCCAGGATCTTGATGTGTAGCCCTGGCTATCCTGGAACTCACCAGGTAGACCAGGCAGCCTTGGATGTAGGCAGTCCTACTGCTCTGCCTCCCAAGTACTGGGATTCCAGGCATGCACTACCACCACTGTCTCTCTAAATCTTTATGACTGGGACCCAAAGGAAACACAGAGCCAAGCATTTTTACTGAGTTACTTCAATGAGGACAGAGGGCTAACTCAGCAAGAAGACCCGATATTGGGTGCCACGTGTCCCCAGCCTAGAAGACCACAGAGTTTTCTATGTATTAATATATTCTTCCATTAGCTTCCTTTTTGTGGCTCTTGGTGTAGGATTTTAAGAATGGGAAGGATTTCAGAAATGGTCTTGTTCAAACAGAATTTTCCTAAACAAACAAACAAAAAACAATGAAATTAGGATTTAGATGGTGTGGGTGCCTTGTCTTAGATGAAAGCAAATCAGTGACGACCCAGCCCTTGGACTGCAGCCCTGTTTGTTTTATAACCCGGTCCCCATTGCTACATCTTTCTGAGCTTAATTCCTAAACTGTGGCTGCAAGTAGAGGTTTCTGTTCTGCTCTTTATGCCTCTGTAAATCTCTTTATTAAAGACGCATTAAAAACATTGCCTTCCCTGCAGGGTAGGAAAATGAATCTACTGCCAGAGAGCTCATATTCAGCTGAATTCAAGAATTGAGGTTATCAATTATTTTAGACAATCTGTGTTATAAAAATGGCTCCTTCCTGCTTACGAAGAATTATGTATTAGTAAATATAAGTTCTGTTTATTTATAAATGCCTACCTGGACTGGCATTGAAATGGACAAAGATGACTTCCCCTCCTCCAGTCAGTTTCCCAGTACCTCTTTAGGCTTGGCACTCAGGAGTGACCACATGCTTGGCCATGTGAGGGAAGCTGGCTCATGCCCGTCCCTTTGTCTGAGCTCTCTGGCCAGCCCACTTCATCTGGACCACAGCAGCAGTAGCTGTAACGCGGGCAGGGCCGGGTTGCCAAGTCAGAATGTAATTCTCCTCCCTGATACACAGAGGGAGTGTGTGAAGGCTGAGACCTGGCTTGTTTTTCAAGGAGAAGGAAGAATAACTGTCATGGTCACAAATATGTGGTTTGGACAGTTCCCCAAGAAGCCAGGGGTAGCTAATAAAGTAGGCAGTGTTGCTGCATTCAACAGGTCTCCTGTCCTCAGTTGAAAACATCCCAGGGAATCTCGAGGAAAAGGTCACTTGTTTGACTAACACATTAATGGCATCCTTGGAAACGTCTCTGTCATCGCTGGGTAACCTACACACTCCCATCCACAAGAGCCACTCACCTCTGTGATGGAGAACGGGATAAAGCTGCAGAACTATGTCCGGCCCTTTTTCTCCTTTTGCAGGACTTGCTGTTTAATTCTTAATTCTTCTAATTCTAAGTGGTCACCCCCACTTAGTGTGAGGAATGTGAGCGGAGGGCCAGGCACTATGACCGCATTAAGCAAAGTGTAAGAGAGTGAACGACTGGGACCACACATTACCTGGTTAGGTGGGGGCAGTTCGCACCTGAGATTCCAGAACTCAGGAGGCTGCGACAGGCGGATCCCAAGCTTAAGGCCAACCCGGGCTCCTGCTTGTAGGTGCACATACATGCACACATGAGCAAAAATGAAAATCATAAAACTAACTACTTTCTTGTGTGTTTCTCTGGGTTGTGTCACACAGGTCCTCAGCTTGTACAACACCATAAATCCCGAAGCTTCTGCTTCCCCTTGCTGCGTGTCCCAGGATCTAGAACCGCTGACCATCCTCTACTACATCGGAAACACACCCAAGATCGAACAGCTTTCCAACATGATCGTCAAGTCCTGCAAATGCAGCTAAGGCCCTCGGAAAAGCCACGACAGGGAAATCACGCCGACAGTGACGCACGACAACGACAGTGACGATGATGACGTCTGTGACACCAGGGAGTTTTGATTCATCAATGTTTAAAAACAAAATGGAGAAAAAAGCGGTACTAGTTCAAACATTTTTGCGAGCTTGTGTTCTGTTTGTTAAAACTGGCATCTGAGATTATAAGCAACAGCAAAAAAACATGAAAGGCTTTAGTCTGCATCTCACCTATTTCATAAGAGACACAAAAAGAAAACATCTTTTTTTTTTTTAAAGGAAAAAAATAAACACTGGAAGAATTTGTTAGTGTTAATTATGTGAAAGAAAAACAAAACAACACAGGAAATCCGTTCAGTGGAGTTGTCCGTATTGTTTTCATCCCACACTTCACCCTGAGCCTCTCCTGGCTCCTCTGTACGGCTCTGCAGCGGGCACCCTCCCCGCCCCTTCCTCTGAGCTAACAGTGGGTTATTTATTGTGTGTTACTATGTAATGAACCTTTCATTGCCCTTGGAAAACAAAACAGGTGTATAAGTGGAGACCAAATACTTTGCCACAAACTCATGGATGGCTTGAGGAATTTGAACTCAAACGAGCCAGGATCCCTGCGAGGCGTTCGACGACCGAGCGAGTCTGCGAAGAGATCAACGCCCCTAGAACATGTGTGCCGACTGCCGCGGAAGCTTCGTGGACGGCCGCACACTGAAAAGGCCTGTTAGCTAAGGAAACCTGGAGTCGGTGGGAATTCGGAAGATTGGTTTTTTTTTCCTTTTTATTGTAAATGGTTCTTTGCCAGTTTAAGCAAGCCAGTGACATGTTGACCCGTTTGTATGTTTATCATCAGACCTGGGACCGTGAAGGGGCTGTAGAGATGTAGTGAGGGCTTTTCCTTTGTCTTGGTATATTTAATCTCACCGATATTGTTAAAATAGACGGGTCTAGAAGCCAGCATAATCGAAAACACACTGCAGATCTGTTTTACAAAAGATTGAATCGAAACATTAACTACTTTACATGTGGTGTGTAGATCTTACCATGATTTTAATATTCTGTAATAATGATTATGATTTAGATTGAATTTAAATTTGAACTTTTTTTTTTTTAAATGATCATCCAGATTGTATGTTTGTTTCCTTTAGCTGGCCAGTACCTTTGAATAAAACCCCTAGATTTTGACTTGCACTACAAATTCAATTTTTTATAATATCTTCTCTGCCTCTCTTTCATGTATTGTCCATTTAATGGCATAAGCTATCTGGTTTCATTTCCCCCTTTCCTTCTATTTTCCAAAAGAGAAACAAACACAGCACAAAAACAAAACCCAAAAAGATATGTTTGAGTTTCAATGTCTTCCTCCATCTTCTGTGTGTCAGCATGAGTCAGGTTTGATGTTGAGCAACACCTCTTCTGGGGAAACCAAGATATGTAAACACCGATAACTGAGCACAAACGTGGTTTAAAGAGGGCTTAAGCATCTGAACTCAGAATCTCTGTGACTGAGGTGGAAAAAATTTCCTTAATTCATGTTATTTATGGACTCTTGGTGCTGTTAAAAAGCAGACACTTCAAAGAAAGCATCTTTTTCTTTAATCGGGTTTTTGGTGTTCATGTGAAGTATTGAAAGATACACAGTTTGGTTCAGTTTTTCAAAAGGGGAAAAAATCCGGGCCAGCATTCATCATTTCATTAATCATTGCATTTATCATCTAATTCACTGTTTCATTGACTTCACTCAAGTTCAGGTTTTGAAAGACATTCTTTGAAGGCTGAAAACTCACAAACCAAATTTTCCCCTGTCCGAACATTCTTCCTTGTATCTGAGGGTTAGTGCTCTGCAGATGAGGCTGGCTCTCGCTTGGCTTGAGGAAATACAGTGTCTGATATTTCAGAGGCAGGGCCTGGTGGTGGGCTGTGCGGGGCAGGGGGGTCCTTGTCACTGATTTAGCTTCAAATACAACTAGTCCATGAAATGATGAAATATTTGTAGTCTTAACTGAAAGGAAGCACAGCGAGGTGTAACTACAAAGAGAATTTCTTGGATATGGTATACTTAGTTGGGGGAGTTTTCCTTGAAACTCACTAGGAAGAAGAACAGGATTTACAAGCCAAAAGACAGACAGAGCAAGCTCTGGTGAATGATCCTTGGGTTGGTGTGCAACACCATCCCAGATTCACCTGTGTGCTCCTTTTCCTTCCCCTTCCACTGCTCTGTTATTTCTGTATTACACCACCAACTCCCTTGTTTCGGCATATATTTTCCTCTCAGAAAAAATGAAATTTTTGTTCAGTATGATCTTGTCTCTCCTTCCGAATGCACTGATTGCTATTTTAAGGTTTCTTGAATCTTTTTTTTTTCTTTTTTTTTAATTGTTGTTTCTTAAGTCTGGGTCCTACAGGTCTTTATTTTCGGTTAGTAAATATTGCCACAGGAGGGGTGATAGTGGGGAGGGCATGAGTTAGCATATGGGCGGGGCAGCAGATCGTATGTGTTAAGCAACAGTACAGTTTTATGGTTGGCATGGTTTTTAAAGAATGGAGTATAAGAATAGCTGGTATGTGTTTTGATGACCAATTATACTGTATTTTAACACAATGGATGTCTGGTTTTTGTGGTGCTCTAGTGGTAAATAAATTATTTCAGTTATATGTTGCTGTGTTATTCCTGTCAAAGAATCATGTTTGAGACTAGAAAACACATGTGTAGTAAGATGACTTGTTACACTGGAAAATCTGCACTTACTGTGGTCTACTGTGCCTTTATCACATAGCTGTTCACTTCAGAAATACCATGTGGTGGCTGCCGAGCCAGGAGTTAGCAATCAAGAACCAGGAAAGGCTGGCTGTCTTTTATTTTATCATTTATTACTATTTGGTAATTGTTTGAGATTTAGTTTCCACCCTCTTGACTGTCTACCAGAGGGGAAAAAAAGCATGCAGAGATTTTTGGGCCATGATTTGGCTTTCTGGTTCTACATTCTGCCAATCGCAGGGCCAAAAGAACCGGTCTAGACAGGCTCCCCTGTTGCCCATAACTTGGATAGTTACTGAGCCGGCCAGATATAACAAAAGCTGTGTGCACTTTGGGGTCGTTGCTTGAAAGCAGTTACTCCTGTCTTAGTTTTACCATAGTGCTATGTACAGACACATGCACACACATATGTCATTCTCTCAAATCTCCTTGGTTCATACTTACAGGATCCCACTTCGCAAGTGAGATGCCTGCCTCATTACAAATGAGAACTAAAGAGAAAGCGCACGTGACCTAGTCTGCTTACCTTGCTTTGTCTAAAGCAAGAACTTAGTTTGTGCTGTCCACAGGTCACAGAAACATGCCATCAGTCTGAGCGGGGAAGTGGAATAGAGAATGCATTCTTTTTCTGCCATCTTGTTTCTTGTCTCTGCCATCACATCTTGTTTGATATTAAATGGAGGAAGTGTTCCAGAGTCCAGGGCTCTGTGTAGAGTGAGCTAGCCCCTTTAGTGGCCTGTTACCCAGGTCAGTTCATATCACAGTTATTTGATGGGTGAGAAAGAGCAGGTAGTGTACAGGTCAGGCAATGAAAAAATAAAACAAAAAAACCCAAAAACCCCAAACCACCACCTAGCAGCCCACAAAAGAGAAAATTTCCCATCTACCACCTTACTTCCTGTCTCTTCCCCTCCCTCCTAGTGGTGGTGCTAGGGAATGTACACTAATCAAAGACAGATTGGCTGAGCCACACCCCCAACTGTTTCTTTACCTTCCCAGAATGTCTGATGTGCATGTCTGCCTACTTGTGAGTAGCTATGAGGGGACATCCTGAGCTCTGTTGCAGCCTCATCATTGAGCAGCCATTGTGATATTCTTGTGCCTGTTCGTTGGGTCATGGCAGTTCTTGCAGCAATCAACTCTTCATTTCTAGACTGTAGCTTGTAACCACACATCTCCATCTTGGTACTAAATGTGTAAAACTCTAGAGACTCATATTTCTCAAACAGATCAAGCCATTGGCCACTCCTGAGGGTATTTGATGACACAACAGGCCCCAAGTTATTGAAAATTAGCTAGTTGAATGACCTCCATTGTATAGCAATACTAACCGTGGTCCCTGCTCTCAGCTCGTTTGCTCTCACAACCTTTGATGTAGATGTATTTTTTAAAGATGTATTTTATTTTTAATTACATGTGTGTGTATGTGTGTGCACATGAGAATGAAGGCATGCAGAAGCCAGAAGGGGGTGTTAGACCTCCTGGAACTGAAGTTGCAAGGGAACTTGGCTCCTCTGTAAGGGCAGTCTGCTTCCTTAGCCACTAAGCCATCTCTCTAGTCCCTAAATGTATTTCATATAACACCATGTTATGGGGAGTGAGTAGAGCGTCACAGTGGATTGATCACTTCCCTGTAACTCTATAGTTTGAAAAAAAAAAAAAAGGTCTAGAACAGTATCATTCAATGTGAGTCACATGTCGTACCTGAGAAATTATTGAATTTTAGCCAATATGACCCAAGACATGCTACAAGTAAAAACTTCTCACTGAAATTTTAAAGACTTGGTACAATCATATGTGAAATTTAAGCTGTATCAATACAGTAGTTTTATATTTATTACATATCTAAATACACACATCTACTTACACACATTCTTGGATATAAATAAAATGTGGTTAAATATTTTACTTTAATCACACATGTTTTCTATAAAATTATTTTACATGGTTACTGAAAGTTTTTTAAAGTTTTGTATTTTGAGTTGAGTTCTATTTTATGATTCCGTTCTGGTGTGGATTTTGTTTTTCTTTTCTCCATATTTTCTGGCTTGTGAGGTGGGATGTCATGAATCCCAGGCTGTCTCAGCCTCCCAGTGCTTGGGTTACAGTATGGAGCAGCTCCCTGGCACTGCTGTAGAATTTGAAGCAGCGCTGTTTGGAAACAAAGGCTCAGCTGTTCCCATAAACCGTGTTAACAACCTTCTTCTTTTGTAATTAGTACATTCTTGGATCATGTGAGGACCTACCATCTTGATCAGGTGACCTTTGTTGAAACTTGCCGTATCTACTGGGGTGAACCTAGCAGCAGATCCTCAGTGACAAAGGTCAGGAGGAAAATGTGGGCGTCTCACAAGCTTCATTATCCAAGTCCCTGTGAATTTGGTGTTTGCAGACTAGCAATGGAGTGGGGCAGTTCCTGGACACATTGAACTATTGAATGAAATGCTTTCAACCCATAAAGCCCACATTAGTGTTTCAGTGACAATCTTTCCTACCCTGCTTAAGGGAAAAACAAAAACACAAATATTTACTGTGCTTGCTTGAGTCACTGTGGTCATAAGACAACATTGCTTTTCCAAAAAAGAAGTTATGCATCATGGCTCTAGCTATTGGACCTTCAAGGGACACAGTCAGGTTTTCTACGCCTAGGGTACTTTACCCCAAATTACTTATCTCACTCATAAAATTAAAGCTAGAGACTTACAGGCTGCACACAAACATGAAAAGCCAGGACATGTAGGCTGCAAGGTCATCCTGGCAAACTCATCATTAGCCACTAATTTGTTCCTATCAAAGACTGTGATTGCCCTTCTAGCAATCACAAAAACACAACTTCATCCTTCCTTCACTCACCTCCTTGCTCTGTTCTGTATTGCTTCCCTTGGCTCTGTAGTCTCATCCCATGATGAAAGAAAATCAGACCCTGAGTTTACTAACATCCCTGGTCAGAGGCAAATGAGAAACTGTTATTTTCACACCTTTTTTTGAACTGTATTCACTAGATGCTTTGAAATTGGGATAATTATTAATATAAATATAAGACCATGGCATCTTCTTATCATCTGTCTTTTATGTATCTGTCCTCTGTTATCTATGTACATTTATCTATCATCTACTTTTCTCATATAGCTCTATTCTAACATGATCATTGATCTATCATCTCTATCATACCATCTACCCTCTCTTTATCATCTATCAAGCATATTTATTATCACTATCTGTCTGTCCAACTATCTATCTATGGAGCATATGTGCTATCACCATCTATTTCTGTTTATCAAACATATCTATTATATCTATCACTTACCTATCTGTATGTCATCTATCTAGCTATCATCTACCTACTTAAGTATTTAACTTTATGTGAGAATGCAAAGAAAAGGTTTTCCAGTGACTTTATCCTTAAAAGATTGCTTTAGGCTTCTCCTTGAGTGAGTCTTTATTTCCCTGAAATACTTTGTAGTTGATTTTTTTTTTTATTCCAGCAAGTAATGGCTGTTTGGAGGAGAGTTGAGTGTGTTCCTGTAATTGGATAGAAACCTAATAAAAGGAACAGAATGTACCAAGGGACACTTTGTGTTGTGTGATCAGAACTAGAGAAATGATCCACCCTAAGAGAATAGGCATAATTAAACAAAGAAAAGACTAGTGGTAAAGAAAAGGCCCAGCATAATCTTCCAGGCTTTCTCCCTCAGAAAAGGGTTTTCTCTGCAGCAGATGCCAGCTCGACCGAAAGAACACAGAGATGTCACTTGGTTAACATGACCAAACTCCAGCCAACCTTGGTAACAGAAACTTTCCATAGGCCCAGTGCTCCATTCTGAATCATATAGCAGATCCTCAAGCACAGGGTGTTGGGAGCAAACAAGCTGAAAAGTTGTGCAATCCAATACTGTTCTAAAGGCAACGTGAAGTCATGCAGCTTGGCTAGAGCTCAAGTATGGGTGGAACACGAATTTCTTCATTTGAAACAAAATTAAACAGTACAGAAAACTTAACAGAACTTTCAACCAAATGGCAATTCTGGATCAAGTTTCTCATTGCCGTGTGTCTTCTCCTTGCTCATGGCCTGGTGTTTGAAGGAACTTTGGGTTATGTTCAGATTCCTACAAATGGGACACATAGAAAGAAGCTGGTTGGGGAGCCTTGAGGAGTCTTCAAGAGGCCCAGTAATCTCTAGAACTTATTTCCTTTGTTATGTATCTAATGGTCTACTATGAAAATAAGTGGTAGTAAAGACATCTTCATTACTATGTGAAGTGTGAAGAAATACACGTACTTATGTGTATATGTATGTACATGCATAATTATAAATTTCTACTATATGCATATGTCCATATATATGCCTAGATATGTATATATCTTTAATGTCCTTAGGGTTGCAACACACACACACAAATAATTACAACCCCAGCATTCTATTTACTCCCTTTCTGGGACCTGGACTAATGAGATATAGAAAGGTTTTCAAGCAGGATGGCAGTGGATGGACACGAGAGACAAAGTGAGGTAGACAAGAGAGGAGGAGAGATACTGAGCACTGCTCTATGACCAGCATCTTCAACGAAGACTAAGACGTCTCTGTGGAGTGTGGCGGTACATGCCTGTAACCCCAGCACTCAGTAGGATGATGAAGGTTATTTCACCAGAGGTTCAAGACTAGCCTGGTGCACTTAGTGAGTTCCAAGCCACTTCTCAACTGCTGAGCGAGACCCTGTCTGAGAAAGCAAGCCAGCAAAACCAGGAGCAGAGCAGAAAGACAAATGTAGAAAGGTGAATAGAACAAATGAGCCAATGAAGCTTAATGTCAAACAGGAGATCCAGGAAGGAACCCCACTGTACCACTCTTGTCAGGATGAGTCTGGAAGAGA